CATGATAAGGAGAGAGCAATCTCAAATATATAACTTCAATGAAATCTCTAGATTTATACTACCTGGAAATACAGGAAGAAATATACAACATCAGAAAGGAGAAACATTTTTAAATGAAACTATTAGAAAAAATACCAAAATGTATTTGTCTTACTTTTCTCTCATTGCTGGGACAAATACCCAACACTCAAAATGAAGGAAGGAAAGCTTTATTTAGCTCACAGTTATTGGAGGGTTCAGTCCATACTCAGCTGGCTCCAAGGCAGAGCAGCACACAGCAGAAAGCAACCTTTCAAGGTGGCGGCAAAGAGCAAGAGCACAAGGGAGGGGTAGCAGCAGCTCAAGCAACTAGCTTCTCTTCCCACCTTACATTGTAATGCGAATCACCTGCCCTGGGGCATACCTAATGAGTGGCATTGCTGTCCTGCATCCCCAGCTTGCCCAGCACATTCCATCCCTTCTTCTGGATCCATGACAGATACCTCTGAAAGCTTCCACACCCACAGTAATCAATCACAAAGTCCAGAAGCCACCCCAAGACTGCATGAGGCTTTGGGGGGACACCTAGACACAAACCATAGCAGTATTGTTTTAAAATAGTTGGTGAGGGCTGGCCAAATAGCTCAGTGGATTAGGGGATTCGACCCCCAGGCCTGCCGTGCCAGCCCACCCCCAGGGCAAGCTGGGACAGTGAGACTGGGCGTGGGGCACGCCCTGTAATCCCACCTCTTGAGAGGCTGTAAACAGGAGAATCAGGATCACTACTAGTTCGATCTAGTAGTGAGACCCTGAACACCCTGTAGACCCTTCCCTAAAACAAACAAAAATAAAATAAAAGTTGGTAAGACTTTCAAAACAAGTTAAAACTCAAAAGAAAAAGAACATATAAAGGCTAGCAAAGTTGGCAAATTACTGATACAGAAGAAGACACATCAAATAGTTTTGCACAGTAGAAAAAAAAAAATCTGCTACACATGTAAATACCAAGAAAAGATTAACAACCACTATTAGTATGAAAAAAGGGCAGCCCCTCCAAAACAAATGGTGTGAACATACAATCCACAGAAAGAACATAAATAACCACTGAAGACATAAACGAAATATTCAGTCTCCCTTGTAACCAGGAGGCGCAGATAGAATGATTTCCTATTTATGCCATATTAACATACATTTATAACAATGGCAATACCTAATGCAGAGAAATGAGGAATTCCAAATTACTGTAACAAGGATCTGCAAAATGGCAAAGACTTCTTATTGGGTAATTTGCCAGTGCCCATTATAAACCAAAACACATATACTTCCTGAACCAATAATTCTACTTGTAGGATACTAAAGAAATACTTGTGTACATATGATTAACATAAAAGGATGTCTACTATAGAAAAATATTTGAAACAAATGTCTATTGTTTGGCTAGACTGAGTTACAGTTCTCATAAGCTACACATTCTTATTATTACTATTACTATTTTTTTTCTGATACAGGTTCTCAATGTAATTCAGGATAGCCTCGAACTTGTGGCAATCCTCCTGTGCCTGCCTTCCCTGTGCTGGGGTTACAGGCAGGTGCCACTATGCCTGGCTAATCTTACAAAATTTTAATGTAAGAAAAAAAAATATATATATATATATTATAACGATGTGAAAAGGATTTCCATTATACAGAGTTAAATGATAAAATGCAAAATTATAAGTATATGCAAAATATGCATATCACAAGAAAGATAACTCTGACTGTCAAGAGTGGGAGCCAGAGGGGAGGGCTGCTATGGATCATTCCTAGTTTATATTGCATGTCCATGTCAGCATGCATAACTGCAATTTTAAAAGATTTCGAGTTCATTTTCTCGTTGACATACTTAGTACAGCAGTAGGCTCCACGTAAAACACAGCTAAGGGGCCCAGGCCCAGGCCCAAAGGCCCTTGCTTCCTCAGCGAGAGATGTAGAGGTACAGGAATGGAGTGGGAAGACTGGGCAAGAGCACAGCTGCCAGGCAGCAGGGT